TCCCCCCCAACTGTGTGTGTGTGTGGGGGGGGGCGTTATTCCCCCCCTTCCCCCCCAACTGTGTGTGTGTGTGGGGGGGCGTTATCCCCCCCCCTCCTCAACTCTCTGTGTGGGGGGGCGTTATCCCCCCTTCCCTACTGCCTGGGATCCCCCACCTGTGTGTGGGGGCCGTTATCTCCCCGCTGCCTAGGACCCTCCCCCCAACTCTGTGCGTGTGTGGGCATGTTATCCCCTCCCCACTGCCTGGGACCCCCCCAACTGTGTCTGTGCGCGGGGGAGATGGGCATTACCCCCTTCCCTGCTGTCTGGGATCCCCCAGCTCTGTGGGGGGTGTGTGTGATCCCCCAGCTGTGTGTGTGTGGGCCGTTACCCCCCACCCCCGCTGCCTGGGACCCCCTCAGACCCCATTACCCATCGCCAGAGACCCCCATATATCCCAGCTGTGGGGGGGAGGCCCATTACCTGTCCCCTGTCGCTCTGGACACCCCAGCTGTGTGTGTGTATCACCCATTACTTCCCCTCTCTCCCTGTCGGCTGGGACCCCCTAGCTGTTTAGGGGGGAGGCCTGTTATCTCTCTTTATCCTCCCCTGAGACCCCAGTGTTCCCGAGCTGTGTAGGGGGGAAGGTCCATTATACCCCCTCCCCATTGCCCGGGACCCCCCAGCTGTGTAGCTGGGAGGGAGGCCGTTAACCCCCCTCCTTGTTGCCCAAGCCACCCCCTGCATTCCCCCCCCCCGCTCTGTAAGGTAGGAGGCCTGTTTACCCCTCTTACCCTTGCCTGAGATGCCCCCATTCCCCCCAGCTCTGTAGGGGGTGGCCTGTTATCCCCCCTTACCCTCGCCTGGGACTCCCCACGTGCCCCAGCTATGTGGGGGGGAGGCCTGTTCACCACATTGTCCTTTGGCCTGTATGTGATCATTCAAGGATCCCTGCCACATCTTCTCCCCCCTCCTCCTCCCTGCGCGTGGATGCAGTAAAACCCCTTTCCTCCTTCCTGTCACCCCATTATGGGGCCCACCCTCACTGTTTCCCTTGGCATATATGGCCACCCTGGACCTTATCCCTCACTGCTCCCCTCTGCTTCTTCACTTCCTGATGATCTCTCTCTTTCCCCTTTCCCCACTAAACACTACTGCCCATTGGCTCTGGGGACAGATTTTGTTCAACTGGGATGAACTGTGTGTTTTGTTCATATTGTCCCACTAGTGAGACCCCTGTGGGGGGGATATTATTGCTGACAGTGGCACCATAGGAGTTGTCATTTATCCGCTTAAACCAGAAGTCAAAAATTGACAGGCTTTCCTGTGTATTGTAAGGCATTAAAACAGTTGCAAAACATCTGTGAGAGTGATGCAGTATTAGGCATAAATGCAGTGCACTATGGTAGGCTCCAGTGTAATTTGGCAACAGAAAAGACTAATAAAATTTCAGGCTGCAGAGGCATCTAGTCCCAGAGCAGGGAGGCAAGGAGGCCATTCAATATGATTCTTATTGCAGCAGCATTCTGAACGTTGCATTCAAGTTCTGGGTAGGTTTGCCAGCCCTTCAGGATTGTCTCCAGGAATTAAAGATTAATCTTTAATTAAAGATTACATCATAAAATGAAACCTCTAAGAATATGTCCAACCAAAATTGAAAACCCTCGTTCTGGGTGCCACATTACTGGAACGGTACTGATAAAATGGAGGGTGCTCAGAGCAGAGCAACAGAAACCATTTTAGCTAAAATGACTGAGAGAATGGGAATTATATGCCATTATTGGATCTCTCCTGGTACTTGGTACCACTGATCACTGGGGCTGGATTTAAGGCATAGTCACATCCGTAGAGCTCCAGATCCTGGAATTGCATGCGGAGAGAATCTCAGTTTTCACGCTTAATTTTTTTTTAAATCTTTTTTTCTATTTTTTATGGTTCCGAAGAAAACCTTAAAAGCATGGCCTACATTTAACTGCTGTCTGCCGATAGCCTGCAACAATAGCTCTGTGAATGTCACCTGCCCACTTTCTCATTATGCTAACTCTGAAACGTGCTTCTCTGAGACCCGCCCCTCCCCCCCCTGTGATGGCACCTCAGCAGAAAACTCAGATGGGGGTAGCCTTTGCTTCTGCCTCCTCCTTATGGCTCTGTTTGGGTGGTGTCAGGAGGCGCTCCCCACACATCCCCCACCCATTTAGGTAGGTGGTGGCTGACTCCTCCTTCTGGCATGGCATAGATCAGTGGTTTTCAAACTTTTTTTCTGGCAACCCACTTAAAGAAAATTGTTGATGCCCGTGACCCAGTGGAGCTGGGGATGAGGGGTTTGGGGTGCAGGAGGGGGCTCTGGGTTGGGGTGGGGGCAGGGGATTGGGGTATGGGGTTACCTCAGGTGGCTCCCAGTCAGCAGTGCAGTGGGGGTGCTAAGGCAGGCTTCCCGCCTCTCCTGGCACTACAGATTTCATTGCGCCTTGGAAGCAGCCAGCAGCAGGTGTGCAAGCAGGACCCCCCCCCGTTCCCAGCCAATGGGAGTGCGGAGCCAGTGCTCGGGGCAGGGGCAGCACGCGGAGCCCCGTGGCCCCCCTGCTTAGGAGCCAGACCTGCTGCTGGCCACTTCCAGGGCGCAGTGTGGAGCCAGGACAGGTAGGGACTAGCCTGCCTTAGGCGGGCAGCACCACCGATGGGACTTTTAACAGCCCGGACAGCGGTGCCAACCAGAGCCACCACGACCCAGTGCCTTACATTCTGCGACCCAGTACTGGGTCGCGACCCGCAGTTTGAAAACCATTGCCTTAGGTGGTCTGGGGGGAGGCCTCATTCCTCCAAACAGGACAGGTAGTGCCGCCCCCCCCCGATAGCTTGTATGTGTGTTGGGTGGGAGACTGTGACTACCCCTCAAGGAGAGGCAGGGCAATGTGGGGTTTGCCTAAGATGTCAGATTGTCTTAATCCAGCTCTGTTGATCACACACTTCTCTCCCACTTTAAAGATATAGCAACAGTAAACGGGAAAGCACTGAGATGGCTCCAATCCTTCCTTTCAGGCTGCACCCTGAGTAGTGCTGGACGAACGTTCCTCTGCCATCAGAGCACTCGGTTGTGCAGTTCCACAGAACTCTGTTCTTTCCTCATCCTATTTAACATCTGCATGAAGCCACTGTGTGAGGACTCTATGGACTCAAGTTCCACAAGCACACAAATGACCCCATATCTCATTTACTTCCACTGCCAACTGAACCATCTCTCAGCTCTTTTGTTGTCTAGCTGAGATCAGCGTGTGGATGAAAAACAGCTGGCTGAAGTTGAACCCAAGCAAGATGGATATGTCATCTTAAAGATCTAACTACCACTGTAGCATCACTCTGTTTTGATGGAGCCTGCTCTCAAGTACCAAGCTGGTTCATAGCCTCCGTGTTCTACTGAACTCCTTACTACTGCTGGATACTCGGATAGCAATGGCTGCTAAAAGTGCTTTTTTCTGCATGTACCCCATACTGCTGCAGAATAATTTGGCCACAGTGATTCATGCCCTTGTGACCTGAAGACTTGACTACTGCATTTCCCTGTATTAGTAGTTCACTGACTGGCCTCAGTTGGTCCAAATGCAGGACCATGTTTCTACAGCAAAACAAATCAGCAATGGCACATCACCCGGGTCCACTGCTCACTGTACTGGCTTTCCCATAGAATACAGGTCATATTCAAGTCTCAGCTTTAAGGCCTGTGGAATTGACCCAAGATATGTGTCTCCATTGACAGTTATATGTTAGCTGTCGTGTATGAGATGGGGAGATGGTTTTCTTGGCAGATGGCCCAAGGAGGAAGTGAGAATACTCAGACTTTGCTGTTTTCAGAGCAAAGAATAAAACTTGTTACTTCAGCTTAGCTTTCCCACAGTCACAACAGAAAGATAGTGTAGGGAAAGCCATTTCCAGCTGCTTCTAGGGAAGGACAGTAGAAACTAGTCTAACTTTATGGGAGGGCAATTATACTATGCTTTTGTTGATGTGTAAAAGGTCGATACTCATGAGTGGTGTGAATACTGAGAAAGCATTCACACCCTTCATGTATTTGTAGGCTGTCCCATTCTAGAATGGAGAGAGATTATACAGGGTTAGGGTTAGGAGATAAAGATTAAGAATGGGGAAAGTGTAAGCTAAACATCAGGAAAAAAAAATCTATTTTGGTCTGGAGTAATTTTGTAAGCAAAGTGGCCATGGTCCCATTAGATGGATTGCCTAAAACTAGATGGAACAAGACACTAGAAAATATACTGGAGGCAACGATCCTGCCCTAGCAGTGTGATGGAACTAGATGATCTAATGAGTGTTTTTCTATATCTAATGTCTGATTCTCTGATTACTGGGAAATGAGCTGACCTGGAGTTAGTGAAATGTTTGCTCATGTATTTTTATGTTTTGTAGGCCTTTGCTCTTGTTTCAAAGCTGTTGTCTCAATGTAAACTTGATCTGTTGGAAGAATTTGTATCAAAAGAGGTAAAGAGTATTTTATTTCTTTTCTAAAATCTCCAACACACAATGAAAAATATTTCTCTGTCTCACCCTTTAATCTGCCAATGGGTTGCCAGTCATCTAAAGTGAAGTTTAGCTTGTTAATAAACACAAATAGTACCAATTTGGTCTAACTGAGGAAGAACGCTTTAATAAAGATCAGGAGAATGTTAGTCTTTAGACTAAAGGAGGACAGACAAGCTTATCTCTAAGGGCATGATCAGTTACTGTATAAGGAAAATTGTCCAATTGCTCTTACCATTAGGACAATGGAGCAGCTGCCAGAAGAGTCCAGTGAGTCATCAAAAAAGGATTAAAAAATATAATAATTGCAGAAGAGGGTGGATAACAGGGGCAGACTTGCAAACTGCTATTCACATGGGGCAAGTGAGTAGAAGTTCCTACTGTGACCACCAGTACCATTCACTGGGGCCAAAACTTTAGGTGAGCAACATAGGCCTGCCCAATGGAGAATTCATTTCTTGTCACCCTCCCCCCTCGTCTAACTGGTTCCCATCCCATGTAGGTCACACTGCCACTTAGCTACCTAGTCCTAAACTGGAGACCTGGATCTTGCATCAGGGCCTCAAGGATATAGCCAAACTGGCCAGTTTTAATTGTCAGTGTGAATTTTGAACCACTGGGACTGTTTTCGTGGTCACCTCTGGAGAGGGGTGTCTCAGATCCAGAAGAGTCTCATGGGGGAGCTGCTTCAGGTGTATGTTTGTGTTACTGTGTGCCAGGAGCTTGGGCTGCCTGGTGCCTCTCATGCCTATGGAGAGAGAACCCTAATGCCACTGTGGTGTAGCGCCAATGCATCATCTTGCCTCCTCCCTCTGAGTAGAGGTAGCAATGAAATGTGAGCTTGTTCCTAGTGAGCTCTTTCAAGAGAGCACCTCTCCTTCCTCTTCCCACCCCAAACTCCATGGGTTCAGGAGGTTTTCATAGACGCTCTACCAGTACTGAAAGGAAGCCACCCACAATCAGAGGAGGGGGAAGAAATGGGGAGCCACCCAACAAAGGAGGAGAAAGGGAAGGAATTATTAGGAGCCATGTGTGACCCAAGGTGGCACAGACTGAGACTGCGGAACAATGATTGCAGTTAGGGCCAGCTAGTAGACTTCTTGTTGTTGACGCCTATGTTGATGAACATCATGACAATCTTTTGCAGGCTGGATGGTGCTCAGTGAATGTGGTATGGAAAATTGTGAACAGGGCCTGGGCTCTATGTATCCAGGCCTTGTTTTAAGACAAATTAAATTTTGCCACTATCGCAGTGTAAACAAATTTGGAGGATGGTGTGTAGAGAAAAAAGGCAAAGTTCCACTGTCCTGTCTGACCTGTGCACTGAATGAGGCAAGGGTCCAGGGCAATTAATATATAATCATAGAGACAACTGTAATGTATAAAAGCATAAGGGCACTCACATACCATGGTAATGTGTAGTACAAAACTTAAATATAGATAGAAGGAAGCAGAGAGAAGGTTAAATAGAAGAGGGGGAGCAGAGTTTAGGTTTTGAGGCAAACCTTAACTGATGCTTTCTGACTTTTGTGTTTCACTTTGCAATGTTAATGTTCTTCAGATGTAGCTTTTTGTGTAGAATTTGGATATTCTGTCTTAATTAGTTTGTGTTACCCCACAGGATACATTTAAGTTAGTTACTGTGAGTATTTTAATTCTTTTTCATGTCCTGACTCTTGTGCATTTAAATGTTACGTTGATGTAACTTTTTACATTTAACCATTCTTCAGTCAGAAGGAAATACTATGGGATATATATATTTTTTTGGCTGAACAATATTTCTATTTTAATAGACTATCTTACAGCGATGTGGATTAGAAATACTTCAGTAGATGTATTGGGGTAATACTGGTTAGTACTGGACTGTTATGGAGTTTACAAGATCAATGGTTTCAATTATCTAGTGAACTGTAGGCTTAACAAAAGCTACAATTTCTCTAAATTCAGGTACTTCAAGTGTTGGAGGAGAAGCTTTCTTCATTGTCTGAAAACCACAGGAATGCCCTGGCTGCTGACATGGATGAAATAATGTATACAACAGAAGGAGATGTTGGCATTTACTATGATGACAGTGGTATGTATAGAATTTTCTAGAACATTCAGATAACAAAAGGGTCTCTGTCTATGCTATGGTTTTGCTTTTTACAGCTTTTCTAGTTACAAAGGTGTTCATGAGTCCTATTTCTCATTCCTAGAAGTAACGTTTAAAGCTCTCTTTTTATGTACTTATTTGATCTCACTATAAACTATCATTAGTATGAATCATTGTACCAGCTTGATGCTTGTTCAAATTTTTCTTATTCTCCTTCACTTGGATTTTATACACTTTCCATTCATTTCTCCCCACTCACTTCTTTAAAAAAAACAAAAACAAAAAAACCAGTCCCCTCACAGGTTACTGTATGCAGAGTGCTAGGCCTTAAAGTGTTGTATGTGCTATAAAAACATGACTCGCAATGTGTGCACTCCTGCCCTTTCTCTTATAGATTCTTTTCTTTTCTGCTCTCTTTTCTTTTATTCCCCCTCTTCTCCCCACCCTGTGCGCCTGCCAAAAATCTTGCCTTGTGGCAGACCTTCTGCTGGAGAATGGCTGGATAGGACTTTCTTTGGAGCTTGTTAATGCTGCTGTTTCTGTCAGCCTCAGCCAGGCTTCAGAAAGGTGACGAACAATCTGTCTTTTCCCATGTGGGCTGATCACTGCCTCTGCAGTGCTCCAAACTCCTGCTGACATGGGAAATGAGGGATCAAATTTAAGACCAATTTTTAAAGTTTAACTGCAAAACCTCTGAATTTTTCTGTCTTCATGCTGCATCTGACTTTGTAATTCATTCCTGTTCATTGTCTGTCTCCCGTCCTGTCTGTTCCATCCCTGCATGTTGCCTCCTGAAAGTTTGCTTCTGTGGTGTTGGTGGGGATGCAGCAGCTGCAGCATGAAATGGACATGGTCTGAGTCAGTCTGATTGCTTTCCTGTTGTACCACTGAGTGCTGTATGCTGGAGCAGCAGCATAGGCATCATTTCCCCCCATGCTGGCTGAGAATATTGAGCATAGAGAAGTGGAGTGGGAATAATCTCATACCACACTGTGTGACAGTTTCTCCACTTGGCTCCAGGACACCTTGATATATATTATATTTTTTTTAAACTAGCAACCATATGCTTTATTTTGTTAAATGCCAACAGTGTGTGCTTGGCTCATTACAAAATATAGCTGAGTTGGTTCTTTTCCTGAACCTAACCTTGTTCTCATCCATCCATATCTCTTTATTTCAGGCTAATACGTTGAGCTTCTCTTATTCTATTGTTTTAATAATCCTACTTCTCCATGTCTCATTCCCTGTCACTCTAAGTACCTTTTCAGTCACAACAATGGTCATTTTATAATCTGGAATATGCCAGCCTTCCATACAATGTGATCATATATAGTGCCAGGAATAACTCCTGCTGAGTTACGCACCTCTCTATAGAAAGTATGACTTTTTGTTTTACTCCTGCCAAACCTTATGAAGATGGCTTTAGGGTGAATTACTTTAAGTTTTAAGTATCGCTTTCTTTTCCTTTATTTTTTTGTGCTTCCTCTTAGATTGTAGCCACTTGCTTCTTTAGAGTCTTAGTAAAACGCTTAGTGGTTTGGAAGTAAATATATTAGACTGCTGCAAAATGCAAAATTCTGGAATGTTGGCTTATGGCTTAGTTTTCTATCTAACAGGAAGAAAGTTTGTTAGTATCCTGATGCGCTTCTGGTATCTAACTAGTGCTGACCTTCCTGATGAGGCTCCAGATGGAACCAAAGTTTTCCACGTTGTAATTGGAGATGAAACTGTGAAAAAAACTAAACATCTTCTAACAGCAAACTATGAGTAAGTCTCCCTATCTCTTTTTCCTTCTAGTTGTATTTATCTTGGCCTTCAGCATAAGAGTTTCCTCATTCAACCCAACTTTTATTCTGGGGAGCAACTCTTGGGGTGTGTGTTTTTTGTTTTTTGTTTTTGTTTTTTAAACAAAATCACCTTAAGGTTGTCACATTAGAGCTTTGTTTCTTAACTTCAGACTAATGCTACTACAATCTGAATCTACTAGCATGTTCCAAACTTTCTGACCCCTCCTTATTCCCCCTCTTTTGGAAAGAGGCCCATGTCAGTCGTCAGTCCCAGTTTTGTGCACCAAATCAAACAACAGTGCTCCAAGCCAATCAGCCTGCTTTGTGCTGCTGTTGTAACACCACCCTCCTGCAAAGGAGTCAGTATTGCAGTTGGCTGGAGAAGATGAAAGATTTAACTGAACATTTTCTGAAGTAAGTTAGAACAACGGAAACATCATCTGGTGTTTGACTAGTTCACATGGATCTGATCTAAATCCTCTGGGCGCTCACTGGTCAAGTGGATGTATTTTCATAGGAAGGTGCATCTATAACACTGGTTATAAAATGTGCTGATGTCTGAGAGATGACAAATATTTGCACTCTTGGCAAAACAATAGAAAATATTCTTCAAAATTGTAAACGTGGAGGGGAAATGGCGTATTTTTGCCTAAGTTATGATAGGGTGGCTCTCTTCTAAACTCTTCCTCAGAGAGGAGAAACTACACAGGGTCCAGGTCCAGAGAAAATACAAATAAAAACCACTTGGAGAGCACCCCTGTTCCCTTTCCTCCTATGTTCATCTCTTGGCCATATTTATCACATATCTTAGAGTCTTGTCTGCTTTCTTTGAGGGTCCTGACTCCTTGGGGGGGAAAGTTGAGTTGTCTCAGTTCCTAGGGGCCAGGTGTCCTAATAAATCATCTGAATTGGCACTTTTTCTGGCTTCTCAGCAGAGATCAATAACCAAATGGGCAGAGAGACTTCAAACCCTTTTGTAAAGCACCCATCACTAGAGTAGCTAGGTGTCTAGGGATGGTCCTGCCCAGGCCAGGATTGGAACACACTTGCAGGACAATATGGATTACACTGCTGCTGCCCTTGTTGTTCTCTGACTTAGGCATATAAATGCTGTGTTAACACACTAAAAACTAAAGACTTTACTTAAAATATCTATCAAAAAATCTTACGAACTTGGAAATGCAGGTACTAAAAGGTTCCAGCACTAAAAGAGACAGCTTTTAAAATGAGGGTGGCTAACGTTCTTTCAAATAACTGTAGAACTCAAATGTGTAGAAGGATTCAATCGTACACTTAGGTTTTTTTTGGTATATCTGGTCTAATCTCTAAAAAGATCTACTAACTTCATATTATTCTGTGATTTTTTTTTTTATGCCTAAACCAAATATCTTTGGGTAAAAAGTACCTAGTTCACCATATTGATTTGCTGATGCCTCATGGAAAAATGAAACCCTTAATTTAGAAACTAATTTTCCTTTAGATCATTTTTGGGATTTTGAGGGTATTAGCATGAAAACGGGATACTTAAGACTTCCTCTGCTCTTGTTGTTTTATCCATCACTGGTGGCCTGAGCCAAAGCCCACCGAAGTCAGGAAAGCCTCCCTTTGACTTCAGTAGGCTTTGGATCAGTCTCTTGTTGCAGAAACAGCTTTAACGTCACAATCCTCCATATGGGGACTGAGCGGTGGCATCTAATGATCTCTCATAAAACACCTGGCTTTCATAAGATCGAAGGATGAGGGAAAAGTTAGAGAAAACGATAACGGAATAACTAAGGAAAATATTTTGCCAAGTTTTCTCAATAGCATTAGGAGCCCTTTAAAGGATTACATGAGCTTTAACAACTTATATGTGCTGCTTTTCCTAGGTTCCGAAGGGAATTTACACAAGGAGTGAAGGCAGACTGGACTATTACACGGATTGAGCATCCAAAGCTATTAGAATAAATTTCTTGTACAATGACTTTTATGGACCCTTATAAATCCACTGGCATACCAAAGGTGTCAAGCTTTTTTGGTCTCCCCACAACAATCTCTTTTCAGGATTAATTTTATATTTTTTAATTCCCAAAATACTTTTGATTTTATCATATACAGTATATTGCTCTGAAAGAATAACAATAAAGCCTTTTCCATGAGTCTCTGAAGCTACGTAATACAAATTTAATTTGTAATAGTTATCAGAGATGTTTGCATAGTAATTGGGTTACAGGCCAGAGTTGCAGATGTATTGCTCTAATTGGGGGGGGGGAGGGATAGCTCAGTGGTTTGAGCATTGGCCTGCTAAACCCAGGGTTGTGAGTTCAATCCTTGAGGGGGGCCAATTAGGGATCAGGGGCAAAATCAGTACTTGGTCCTGCTAGTGAAGGCAGGGGGCTGGACTGGATGACCTTTCAAGGTCCCTTCCAGTTCTAGGAGATGGGATATCTCCATTAATTTTAATTGATCTGTTACATTCTCAGAAGGAATCTTGGTACTAATAGGATACGACATGTATAAAACAAAAGATGCTCTCATGACTGGCAATCCTTCTGAATAATACCACTTAATTTATTATGAGTATTTTCCCAAAGATATAATGTACAGTAGTTAAATCAGAATGTTTGAAGGAGGTGGGTACAGGTAGTACAGGTACTTCCTAGCTAGTTTGACAACAGCAATATATTTGAGTAAAATTAAAACTAGATTCTAAAAAGTATACACTCTTGACTCCAGTCTAAGCTGTCATAGACATATAACATTCTACTATGAAAGTGATACAGACAAATTTATTCTGATTATGTAACAGAAGTGACAAAATTCTTTCCTTTTGGGTATTTGGAAGAAAACTTAATCCAAAACATGAAACTAAAGGAGAAGCTGGGATGCTGTATCAAATCAAGCCCTGGCAAACTGGAAGGCTTGCCATCAAAGTAAAAAAAATAATTAAAAGCATTGGGGCACTGTGAACCAGAAACTCTTGAGTTTTGCTCCCAACTCTGCCACAGATTTGCATTGTAGCTTGGCTATAATCTGCCTTTAATATCTCTGAGCCAAATTCAACCCTTCTCTAAGTAGCTGTAACTTTCATGGCATTCAGTAGGAATTCCTGGCAGGAGCATCTGACTTCCTCTGTAAAAGGAGGGGCACTATTAACCTACCTCACAAGAGGTGGTGAGAGAATTAACTAAGGATACAGTATTTTGAAGGTGTTAAGTGCCAAGTATTATTACTGTATGCAGTGTTGTTGTAGCCATGTCTGTACCAGGATAGTAGAAAAACAAGGTGGCTGAAGTAATATCGTTGGTGAGAGAGACAAGCTATCAAGCTTAGACAGAGCTCTTCACCTCTATAGCTCTGTAAGCTTGAAAGCTTGTCTCTCTCACCAACAGAAGTTGGTCCAATATTCTTGTGTGTCAAGTATTCTTACTGTGTGAGTCATAGGGGTTGGGGTTAAAGAATCACAAAAATTGTAACATACCTCTTCCTCCGTCAATCTGGGGTTATAAAATGGTTTCATGGCAATAACACATAGTTAGGATTTATCAACAAGCTGTTTTAACGTTCTGGGAGACTAAACAAGAGCAAAATATCTTGGTTGTCAGCCACCAGATTTTGTACTGGAGAATTCCTGTTGTCTCAACTATTGAATAAAGTTGACTGATAACAGCACTTCCTATCTTAATGGGAGAAAATCTGAGATTCTGTGTTTAAAATATATATATATATATATATCATCTTTTATAACTTGGGTTTGAGAAACTTTGAGGCAGATTAAAAACTTTTCATGGTCCTTTAGCCAAAGGGTAATAATGTGGTAAATGGAGTGTATCAAATTTGGATGTCTAGCAGACTGGTGCACCTGTCGGTTCAGTCTCATCCTCATGTGAAAGGTTAACAGAAGGAATAAACAGCACACTAATGAGGTATGCAGATGTGCCCTTGGAGGGGTCACTGTTCTATGTGGTGTTTGTAATACAGGGGCCAACCAGAGAGGTCAGAATCCTACGCAGAATACATAACAGCAAAATCAACAATGGGTTACCAAAACCTGGAAAGCAGGCAATGCTGAAAGATAGCTGAAGTGATAGCAGACAGCGACTTAGATAACAGTTTGGAATGTTACCATTCTACAAGCAGGTAATGGCTGTAACCACTAAAGGAATAGAATTTGATAGGAGGTAAAAGGCCATTTATGTTGGAGGAAATCAAAAGGAGCATACATCTGGATATCCAGAAAAATTGTTCTGGGAGGGTACCATTAGCTTGTGCCATGGTCTCCCAAAGAAATGGATCAAAGCCCCATTTCTTTAAATATTATATGTGGACAAAACATACTGTTCTAGCCTGGCAGCGGAGTGGACTTGGTTCTCTAAATGTCTTTACATATCAGTGAAAAATGTTCAAAGACCCTCCAAAAGGAAAGAGGCAGACCTTTTGGCAGAATTAAAGGTAAAACAAACCCTGTTTTGTTCCTGGAACTGCTGATTTGGAGTGAGTGGGTATACTTTGGTAACAACACTGTACTTCTAATAAAACCTAAGAATTCCTAGTGAAGGGTGCTACTTGGAGTTTTACATATCTATGGTCTCATGCTTTCAGAGTTGAGACTGAGTCTATTGTGGTCACCTAATCAACTCTGTAAAACACTGCAAATCCTCATCTGGTTTGGTATCTATCCTTTCCCTTATTGTAGCAAATAAATTGGGAAGTGCATTCAAATTGCTAAGATTTATGAATTAGAATTAACAAAACTATGTTTAAGCAACAAGTAGAGCCTGTGCAACTAGCTTGGAAAGATGGGTTTATGTTCTAACCTTGGCTCACAAAACATACTGATGAGAGGAGGCTGCTCAAAAATATAGCCCCCTTTCTCCCAGATTGGCCTATTCTAAAGGGTCAGTAATTCATCTAGGCAGACTTCTGGACTGAAGGCAGGGAAGCCACACAAAGGTTACAAATCGCATGTGTCCTTTGTTAATTACAATAAATGCTCTGTGGTTTATGGAGGAAGGGTTACATGCATTCCATAAAGGAGACATTATCCTGAGAGTAAATTTTGTTGATTCAACTTTATCCCACTTCCTACCAGGAAATAACTGCCCCCTGTCCTAGTGTGGGTTAATCTTGGATTAGTAAGACTTTATTTGTATTCTGCTGCCCTTTATTTGTGTGACTTGCTTTGCATAATCAAGGGCTTGTTGACCACTCTCAAGTCCAGGGGAAATAAATGGGAGTGTAGGGCATATGGCAACTCATAGGATCAGGCCCCAATTGAACAAGCAATTAGAAACAGTTAACCACAAACTGCATTGTGTCTATCTGCTCCATTTACTTGAGTGACCTGTTAACAAAAGAAAGTTCACATTTGTGTCATGTAACTGGGTGAATGGTGTCGGGTGACCTTAATGCCTTCTTCAGAGCCATTATTATGTATGATTTCATTTATTTTCTCAAGAGCTGCCTAAAGAATTCTTAAGTGATCTTTGCTTTGGAAGCCTGTAATAATTCTTCCTTAGCCGTCAGTGTCTCAAGTCAAGGACTCCTGAAGAAATCAGAGAGGCAGACTTGCTGACCTAATGGATTACTGGTCTTGCATATGTGCAGCCAATCCATAGGAAACTATCCATGCAAATAGCGAATTGCTTACATGTAGGAACCTATTTCTAAACCATATGAAGAATCTCAGGACACTGTACTTTAAAAAAAAAAGTACAAGAAGCTAGGTTGCATCATGGTTACATTGCCTGCAAATCTTACGCTTCCCTCAAATCCACTCCAGTAGTGCAGTGTTTTGGAACATTACAATAGAATAGTGCTAGTGTTTGTTTTTTAATTAAAGGCATTTTCTCCAAGTTTTGAATCTTGGCCAGGATAGTTATCTACCTTGCTGTTAAAATCTACTGTATATGGCAGAAAAGTGTGGGCGTAGAGTAATGTTGAAGCAGTTGCTTTTAAGGAATGTGGCCTTGGGTTCATCTTTCCACCCATACTTCTCAATTGCTAAGGGCCAAATGTGTGATGAAGACCCAAAAGGAGAGGACAAAAATTATTCATGCAGGGAATTTAAAATGCTGTGGGATTCAATCATTCTCTCTGTAACATTATTATTCTTTTCCTTATTCCTGAGGTAAGTGACTCCACAACACAAATGAGATGCTAAATTTGTTTTGAAAAAAGGTAAGGTTAGAAATTAAAGGAGGGCAGTTGAGGCATATTTCCAGCTCCCACTTTAGCAGAGCCGTTTTATGTTTTAAGTGGAGGGGTGGAAAAAGGTGTCTTGTCTTTCATGGCAAGCTGATCTCTGCTGAACAGATAGTTGTAAACAGGCAAGATCTCCAATGTTTGCAGCTTTGATTACAACAGGCAGCTAGGAATGTAGGACTAAAGCAAGTCCTTATATTTGAATGGCTGTTTTGTTTTTCTAACATCTGTGGGCTTGTTTGGTATGGTGTTTTGTGCATGTATATGTTTGCTTTTCTTATTGGTAACACAAATAGTGTCTTGGTATTGAAATAGTGATACTATTTGTGCTACCAGAGGCAAACAAAGCAGGGCTCTTTAGGTTTGTTGTTTTGGGGGTCTGCTATTTATTTTAGATGGCTTTGGGGATTTTTAGAGGCTCCCATGTCTGTGAAAAACACGATTATAACTTTTTTTAAATCACAACATCCATAGACATTAGTGTACATAGGTAGTTGTCACTGAAATGTATCCTTTTTATTATTACACTTGTTCTCCTCCCCCCCTCCATATTTTGGAAATATGTTGAACAAGAATGTTCTTTAGTAAGCCATAGAATTTAATGTTTTGTAAAAGATTTATAAGCTTTTAATCAATATGTTGCAGTGAATGGGTAACACATGCAATAGAAGCATTTTCTTTCCAGGTCACGGATTCAGACAGGTAGTCTGGGTCAGTAGTGATCAAAAGTTATCACCATAAGACAGCCACACCCATTCGGCCCATGGACTATATGAAATGAGTTGGTGGTCTCAGTCAGCTCCTAGTGGACAATTGTCCATATTATGAAACCTCACATAACCCCTGGCTTCACTGGGTAGTTTCAGTGGCGAGGACAAGGACTAAATGAGCCTTTGATGCTAAATTATCTTCTCATCTGTTAACTTTTCTCTGACCAGGGCCGGCTCCAGGCACCAGCCGAGCA